AGAACGCGAGCACGATGATCGAAGGGCATCCTCGCGGGGTTTGGCGTCCATGGGAGCATCGCCGCGCGGCCGAGCGCATGATGATTGCAAAACGCATAGCTGCTGAAACCACGCCACGAAGCTCCGCAACGGATGGCGCCGCATATGTCCTTGCGTGATCACAGATGCGTACCGCGCGGCCAGACAAGACTATCTTGCAGCACGCCCTCGTCTGTCATCTCCCTGCGTTGCTCCCCCCGCCGGCGGAGCGAACTGCTGGTAGTGGATCACCCAGAGAATCGGCGCACCATTCAAGCCAGGTGCAGGGGTTGCCGACCTGCTCGGCGCCGCAGATTGACGGCGCCCACGGCGCTGCCCAAACCGTAACGCGGTCGGCGAATCGCGCTTTGATCGCATCGCTCTCTGGGCAATGGTTTCCTCGCTAGCGCCGCGCGCTTCCGGGATCCGCGCCCCGACGGCAAGGCTCCCGCGCCGAAGGCCCCGACTGCCTGCAGACCATGAGGAATCTGCTGTCGTCCGCGCTCGAAAAAGCCTCGCCTCTCGAACCGCTTGGTGGGGGAGGTTCACGCGGGGGGGGCGGTGCCGTCGCTTGCCGCCGCTGAGGGCGGCTGTAGCCTAGGATGAACGCCCCTCGAAGATACAAGCAATGGCGTCCCCGACGGGTTGGGAACGCCCCTGATCTGCATGGGGCTGCGTCTGGCTAAAAGCGCCTGGTGGTGAAGGTCAGCCACTCCTTGCCCAGGAGGTTCGCCCTCGTCTCCGCCGGCCGCCTGCGCGGGCGGTCCGCGCGTGACCAGATGGCCTCGCATGCGTTCCATGTCGGAAGCCAGATCGCGTCGTGTGCTCTCAGAGGCACGTGGGCGACCCTGGAGCACGGCTCGATAAGGCGCGGCGCGTCGGACAGCAGGCCGGGCGTCGACGGGGCCCAACTGGCTGGCGAAGGGAAGCTCGCCAACACATTCGCCGACAAGGGGCCGCCCCGGGGAACTCCCGTCGCAGAGCGGGCACCGTTCACAAGAAGCACCGGCACCAGCGCGGACACGGGGGGGGCTGCATAAGGCGGCGGAAGGCGAAGCGGGCAGGAAGTTGTTTCTAGAGTCTGAACGCCGTTGCCCGCGGCGATCGCAGCGAGCAGGATCATCAAACAAGCGGAACCCTTCGCGCAGGAGCCCCCGTCGACGACCGCCCCCTTCTGGATGCCATGCGCGGGGTTCCTCCAAGAGTCCGCTACGGCGCGCAAGCTCCGCTTCGCGCCCCGCCGCAGCTGGGGCTTGGAGGTCGCCTGCCAACGCAGCTTGTCGCTGCAAACTGCTTTGTCATGCTGCTCGGCAAAATTTAACCGTAATGACAGCCAATATGCCCGCGTGCGAGTCGTTGTCAGCGCTGGCGAGGACGCGGTCGTGCCCTGCGCTCCCCAACCAGGCCCAAGTGAACGGAGCGCACCATTCCAGCCATGCGTTGCGGTCATTGATGCACTCGTTTTGAATAATGAATAATGGAGATGGGGTCCACTCACCAGCAAGCCGACCTAGTAGGCTTTTGGGCTGGACGCACTCATCGCAGGGGGCGCCTGTGTCGTCGGGAAGCTCCCTATCCTGTTCGAACTCTAGCTTTTTCCTGAAGACTGAAAGAACAGCAATGCCACGTGATTTGAGCGCACCACGGACTGCGGCGCGGAGAAGCCCAGGAAGGGCGCGTTCGAGGTGCCTGAGCTCGCGGTGAATCGAGCTCGCCAGCTGGACGTCTTCAAAACCCTGTTCGGAGAACCTGCCAAGATCCCCATAGGACAGTGGGGTCGGCTGAAGCGGCCCCCAGACTTTGCCGTCGAAATCGGCTAATCGCGGCTTCTGCAATGACGCAGCGCCCGGGTTCGGTGCGTTAGTCTCCACGACCGAATACGCGCAGCTTCGGTCATCGGAAGAGGAGACTCTGCAAGGGGTGAGCCACCCGCCTAACCGCGATCCCATTGCGCCACATATCCCCGCAACTGGTGCATTCTCCATCGCAGCTAGCTCTTCCGACCACTACCTCGTCGAGGCGCCAGGCGCGATCGAGTGGCCATTTAGCCCATCCCTTAGCAAGCGGGCGAACGAACGCCGAGCAATTGTCGGATAAGCTGGCGGCATTGTTGTCCATCGTGGTCTTGAGCACGGCCGAGTAGGCGCTTCTCTGCGCCCCCCTCTCGCCCATCAGGTTGTCTCTGGCGAAACTCCTCGAAGCCGCCGCCTCGGGGGTCGGCGGTCCGACCGGCATTCAAGTGCTCCAAGTAAGCGTCGGACCTCCAGTGCGACTGCGATGCATGACCAGCTAGATCCCTCAACGACCTGTCATTGATCCCTCGCGAAACGGGTCCGGCCATGCGCTCGGGATGCGCGCAGCGCCCCTGTCTGACGAGCGCGGGCCGCGTCGCGCACTCGAGCGCGACAAGCGCAGGTTCGCCCAAGCTGCCGCTATATGTTTACAGAAATGTGTGTATATATACATATATGTACACATATGCCATCGATGCACCTTGCGGCGTGCCCACGGATGGCGGAGAAGCCGAGCCAGCGCGCGCGTGCACTTCGCAATGAACGATTCCGCGATGGGCGTGAATTCGCCGCAGATCTCGTCGTCGGAAGCGCCCCGGACAAGTTGAAGACGTTGGGCGCCGACGGCGCGGCAGAAGTCGCAAGCGCCGAAGCTCTTCCCGCGTGATTTGCCCGCGGACTGACCCGCGGCGCGCGCGGAGCAGCGGCGGGGCCAGGCCGAAGTCAAAGGTGCAGATTCTGCGCCTCGACCGAAGCGACGCCCGCCGGGGCGCAGCGGCTTGATTCGCACCATGCACTTCAGCAGCTTCGCACGCGGAGAAGGCGCGGGCAAGCGGGGCGACCGCGCGCGTGATCGGCCCCGGCTCGAGGACGAGCTCACCCGCCACCTCCGTCGCCCGAGCGGGGGGCTCGAGATCCGCCGCGTCGAGAAGGGCGCGGCCGACGTCGTCGGCGCGCGCGACAGGCGCCCCGAGCATGACGTCCGATCCCGAGCCTCGGGCCCCCCAGGAAGAGGGATGTGGCCGTCGCGAACCAACTGTCAGACCGCGCAGGCCTTCGAATGATGCCCCGCGGCCGATCCGGCAGATCGCAGCGAGTGTTCCTGCAGCTGTGCCCACTGCGGCGCGAGCGGCGCATGGCGAACGAATGGCCAGCGCGAAAGCGAAGGGAAGCCAGAGAGGCCCCAATGCCGCCAACATGTAGTCCAGGCCCAAACTGAGGAGCGCTTGCCCAGAGTCGAGCGCGAGGAACGAGGGATGATCGGCCCTGGCCAGGTGGCGGGTCGGCGCCGCTCTAGGCGACGCGTCGAGCCCGAGAATGCTGGCGGTGAGTTGCGCCCCAGGAAAGAAGCCGCGCTGCGATGACGAGGTCGCCTGCTTGATGAGGGGAACCAGCGCCGCGTTGAGAGCAGCAGGTGGCCTTCGTGTCCGCGTTCCGAAGCCCGAGTGCACGCGCGGCATTTGAGGGCCTGGCAACGACGCGGCTATCCTCATCAGAGTATAGGCAGCCCTGTGCAAGGACAGCTTGGAGTGCGTCACGAAAAAGCGCTGCCCATCCATCATCCAGAAGCAAGCTTGCCATTAAACCTCGGAGCCGAACTCGCGAGCTGCTCGGGCCGCGCGCGGGGGCCCGTCAATCCTTGGGGCCGACCTTAAATTGCGCCAGATTCTCCAGGGCCGACTCCAGAAAGCGGTGGAAGGGAAGTGGTGGGTCGTCGAAACATCGCGGCTGGATCGACACGTTGAGGCGCAAGGCCGCGCCCGCCGAGAGGGGGCCGGCTTCGGGGGGGGGGGCCGCCCAGATTTCAGCGATGGCATTCAACGTCTCCAACGTCTCCGCTGCGGGGACAACCATGCTCGCCAATCTCGATCGCCCGCCGCGTAAGTCGCTTGGCTGAAGACCCGCAAATCTACGCTTCCTCTGCGGGGCCATGACCGGGCTCGGCGACGGGCGAGCTTGCCCTTGGCGAGAATAACTGGCGATCTAGATATCCTCGAAGTGGGCGGCGGCCGCGGCGCGACGGGCAGGCCCGGTTCAAGCCTGGAGCGCAGCGGGAACAACGAGCGCGAGTTTGCCGGCAACGACGTCGACTCACTCGTGACCGATGCAGGACGAGTCGCGCACCGCCGCGGCGAGTGCACCCGATTCCAAATGGCCCTACCCGCCTGACGCGCGAACACTCTATGAGCCCCCAGAGAGTCTGGTTCGTCATGGAGGGCCATGTTCGCGGCAGCGTAGGAAGCGGCCTGGGAGGCGATGGAGAACCCAAGATGTCACTTCCTGCGGTAGCAATGAGCGCGTCAAGCTTGGCGTGGGACCCCCCCCTCTTGAAGATGCGCCCGGGAAGGGGCTCGGCGGCTGCTTCGCCGATAGCGCGGCGCTGTAGAGCGCGGCGGACAACGGCGCCATCTGCGACTCCACTCCCAGAGCGAAGCTCTGGATTGCCATTGCTGCGATAAGTTGGGACAACTGGCATGGCGCCCAACTTGGTTTGGACATCCGAGTGCGCCCCAGACGGGTACACGATTTTCTGGTCACTGCAGTGGCGCAGCGTGGTCAGGCACGATCTCGAGCCACCTCTAGGACTGCCTAATGGCGGTGCCCGTCGACTTGCCGCGGCGTGATGGATCTGGTGTGGCCAAGAAGAATTGGCCAGCGTCAGCGATCTTGGAATCACCGCTGGCAAACGCCATTCCTGAGCTAGGATCACCTTGAGCCGAGCCTATATCCTTGTAAATCCCCCCGCGCGCTATCTGGGTCTGCCCGAACGAAGCACCGTGCTGGCGCGCGTTGACACGTCTAGCCTCGGCCTGAACGCTCCGCCGCGCGATCGTCTTTCACACTCTTCCCGAAATCACAGCAGACGCAGAGGATGAGGAAGAGGACGGAACGACAAACGAAGGAACCACCGTCGCGACGCCACCGCGACTCCGACCCCCCCCTCGTCTCCTCGAAGAAGTCTGGGCCCGC